TATATATATAAGCATAATTTTATTATTAAAAATTGTGTAAATATATAAGACAAATATTTCATTTTTTAAAAATACTGAACATATTTTTAGCTTTTTCATGTTTTGAAAACAGAAAATAAGTTCTCAAAATAAACATGTTTTCTAAATCTTATAAATATGAAAATGAAAACTATTTTCGGAAAACAGAAATAGAAATTAGAAATTGTTTTCCTAAACCAAACAGGCCCTTAGTTCTTAACTCTGGTGTCACCTTCAACATTTCGTCTTCAGTAAAAAATTTTCCCCAATGGGTTTCATCTATATTTGTTCTTTCATTTTAATTCTGCAGTATTGATGTCTTCTGCTTTGCATTTTAATTTTATTTTTGGGTTTACGGGTAGGTTATTTCTGAAAATCGATACATGTTGGAGAATGCTTTAAGAAATGTTTTCCCCAATCCTTTGCCAAATGCCAATAGCTTTGGGCACCTGATAATTAGTTTTGGTGTTGTGTGCAATATCACTCTGATGTAGTTAGAATTCACTCACATATACAATGAGCGTTAGCTCCTGCCCTCTGAAATAATCTTTAAACTTAGACACATGTTTGTTTTGACTAATGCACTTTATAACAAAGTTATCAATAGCGGCGGAGCGGTGCTACGTGGATTTTGTGGCTGATCTGAAATTTAAAATTTTCGAAACTCTGCATGATCTCGGACTCCTCTTTGTGCGTCGTCTTTGCGCCTTGTCTTGAGCTCTCTCTTTATACGTCTCCCTCTATTTGTGCGTCGTAGGTCCTTTGTTCGTGCGTCGGCGTCGTCTCCCTCTTCTCATGTTTTGTCATTTTCGTGTGTCGTGGGTTTCTGTTCTTGCTCTGTTTCCTTTTCTCGCATTCTCTCTCCCCGCGGTATTTTTTTTATTTTTATTTTTTCCTCCTCTCCATGATTGTTTTTTCTTATTTTGCTGTTCACTTTTTTTTTTCTTCTCATTTGTTCCATTTCTTTCTTTTTTCTGTTCATTATTTATTTATTTATTTGGGCAGTAGTGATCAGCAAGCCATGACCCAAACAAATGCCGCTAGAATTAGTTCCAATCCTAATTCCACACCATCAATGGGTTGTTTGTTCAATTGGAATGTTTAAGCTTTCCAGAAACAATATTGATGTATTTTGGAAGTGAAATAATATAAAAGACAAAAGCAACAAGAAGAGTGTGACTTGTGATTTTTGTTTAAAAACTTTTACAAGAAGAATTACTAGAGCAAAAAAAGGCATCAACTTGGAATAATAGGAGATGTAAGTGCTTGTAGAAAAATACCAGAAATGAAGGTTGTTTATGAGAGCCAAAAAAATGACAATGAATATATGGAGCCTATGGAAGAAGATGGAAGAAGATGAAGAGGAAGATGACATCCAAGCTATCTCTAGATTTAAGAAACCTTCATCTACATCAAGTGAAGCCACTTCTAATATCAAGAGAATGGATATAAATGTTAAAGGTTCTCTTGATTTGCACTTTGCTAAAAAACTGGAAGAAAGTATCGAATTGGGTAAAGCTATGAGACAAACAAGTTTACATGATTCTTGTAATAAAAAAGTAAGAGTAAGAAATACATTGCCTGTTTCTTTTATAGGAGTGGAATTGCATTTAATTTTGGTAGTTCAAAAAATTTCAAATTGATAGTTGAAGCTATTGGTACCTATTGTCCTCATTTAAAGCCACCAAGCTACCATGAATATAGAGTTCCACTCCTTAAAAAAGAGCTGTAATACACTAATGACTTATTGAAGGGCCATGAAGAGGAGAGTAAAATATGGGTGCTCAATTATGTCTGAAGGTTGAATAGATAGGAAAAATAGAGTTTTAATTAATTTTTTGGTAAATTGTTCATTGGGAACAATGTTTATGAAGATTGTGGATGCTTTTGAATATACCAAGACTGACGAGAAGATAGTTTAAGCTTTTGAATAAATTTGTTTAGGAAACTGGAGAAAAAAATATTATTCAAATGGTGACAGATAATGGAAGCAATTATATTATGACAAGTAAGAATCTATTATCATTGTTCTTCAATGAATTTTTTAATTTTATACTCATAAGATTATGAATTATAATTTATAATTTTACTTGAAAAGAGAGAATGATTTTATTATTTCATTCATACGTATTACATTCTCATCACATCTATTTGTAACAATCTAATCCTCCAAAATAAGGAAATAAGAAATTATAATATGCTCATAAATAAATAGGAAGATTCTACAAATGTTTTCTCTAATTAGGATATTTACAACACTCCCCCTCAAGTTGGTAAATGGATATAAACCATTCTCAACTTGCCTATAAGATCTTAAAATCTACCCTGAGAAAGTCCTTTTGCAAAAATGTCTGCTATTTGAAGTTTCATAGGAACATGAGTTGTAATCATAAAACCTCTGTCTAGATTATCTTTGATGAAGCGTCAGTCAATTTTAATGTGTTTGGTTCTATCATGTTGTATTGGATTATGGGCAATGCTCATGGCAGACTTATTGTCATAGTACAATTGCACGTGGTTGTCCACCTTGACTTTAAGGTCATCCAAAATGATTTTCATCCAAAGTCCTTCACACATTCCATGAGCAAGGGCTCGAAATTTAGCTTTTATGCTAGAACTAGATACTCTATCTTGCTTTTTGCTCTTCCATGTTATTAGGCTATCTTCAAGAAACATACAATACCCAGAAGTAGATTTTCTATCAGTGATAGAACCTGCATAGTCAAAATTAATATATATTTTCATAGTCAAAGTGTCGTCCCTTTTGCACAGTAGCCCCTTTCCTGGACTTGACTTCAAGTACTGGAGAATTTTGTGAACTGTTTGCATGTGTCTCTCTCTTGGGTCATGCATAAACTGACTCACTACACTAACTACATAAGCAATGTTTGGTCTTGTTCATGATAGATATATTGATTTCCCTACCAATCTCTGATATTAGGTATTCTCTACCGGAGAACTCTCTTTACTTCCAATTTTATGATTCTGCTCTATAGGAACTGTTGAGGTTCTACATCCTAACTTTCTTGTTTCTTTGAGGAGATCAAATACATATTTCCTTTGGGATATGAAAATTTCGTTCTTCGAGTAAGCAACTTTTATTCCAAGAAAGTACTTGAGTTTTTCCAGGTCTTTCATTTTAAATTGGGCTACCAATTTTCCTTTTAATGCCAATTTTTTTTTTGTTTCCTCATCTCTTGCAATAATCATATCATCCACATAGACAAGTAGTAGAGTGAGTTTGCTTGTAGAAGAGTGCTTTATGAATAGAGTATGATCTCCTTGGCTTTGTTTGTATCCCAAGGAAATCATTGCTTTTTGTGAATCTTGCAAGCCATGTTCTAGGGGATTGCTTTAGGAGGCATACTTTGTTTCTTTCATTCTACACTTCAAAACCTGAAGGAATTTCTATGTACACTTCCTCTTTCATATCTCCATGAAGAAAGACATTCTTCACATCTAATTGGTGTAAGTCTTAACCAAAATGAATAGCCAAAGCAAGAACAACTCGAACTGTATTCATCTTTGCTATTAGGGCAAATGCCTCCTCATAGTCAATCCCATAAGTTTGGGTGTAGTCCTTTGCCACCAATCTAGCTTTATATCTTTCTATTGTCCCATGTGCCTTATGTTTCACTATGTATATCCATCTACACCATATAACCCTCTTGTCTCTTGGTTTATCAACAATCTCCCATGTTGAGTTTCTTTCTAATGCATTCATTTATTCTCTTATGGATTGAGTCCAATGTTCAATTTTCATGGCTTTCTAAACTGAGGTAGGAATTTCGATGGAATCAATGGTAGCAATAAAGCTTTAGTGTTTATCAGAGAGATTGTTAGTGCAAACATATTGAGAAATTGGATATTTAACACATGACCTTCTTTCCTTTCTCAATGCCATGGGTATATCCTCAATAATACTTACCTCTTCACTATTGGATCCTCACCTCCGAGTTAAACAATTCTTCTTGCTCTAGGGTCGAAATGAGTTATTTTCTTCTTTCATATTTTTTGTCAAAAAAATTGTCTTCTTCCTCTTCTTCCTCACTATTGGCCATGATAGCTTCATTACTTAGATCTTGTGCATCC